CTGGGATGATACTAATAACAGCAATAGCAGCTAACACCTTGCTGAGTACCTGTCCATGCCAGGCACTGTTAGAAGTATCTTGTATACACACTATTTTATTTCATCTTCATAACAACTGTAAGTAGCAAGTTACTATCATTTGTATTTTGTACACAAGATAACAAAAGTTCGAAAGGGTGTGTGTGGCCAAGGGTCATACAGAGCCAGGACTCAAACCCAAGAGGTCTGCAGCCAGAGCCCTCTACTGCCTCCCAGGAACCAGAAGATTATGAAAATCTGGGACTGTTAACAGCACAGATGAAGGAGACCGGGCAGAGACGCCTAGTTCTCAATCGTAGGAGGGTTTGGCAAGGCATCGGGAGGAACTTCTTGCCTCTGGAAGTTTCTGAGTGGGAATTAGGGCTCTTCTGTGAAAATGGGGCCAACGGGATGAAGGATTAAGGGGACAGCATTGCTTGGGGGGGGGGGCACAAATGATTAAGGCTCCTGGCTACTAACCGAAGGGTTGGCAGTTCAAACCTGTCCAAGAGGCGCTGTGGGAGAAAAGCCTGTCAACCTGCTTCCATGAAAATTGCAGCCTAGAAAACCCCACGGGGGCAGTTCCACTCTGTCACATGGGGTTGCTATGAGTCAGAATTGACTCCATGGTACCGAGCGGCAACAACACTGGGAGCAGGGGAGGAGAGCAATCTAGTCCTTCCAGGTTGCCATTCAAGGTCCAGGGACTCTCGGGCTTTGCTCTGGTTAATAAGAGGAAACGAGAAGCTGACCGCTGAGGCACTCTCCTGGAGCTCCCAGCCAGCTCCGGATACACCAGGGTCTCTCCAGTGAGCTAGAGAAGCAGGTGGACTCCTTTTCCTGAGAAGCAGGTGGACTCCTTTCCCTGAGAAGCAGGTGGACTCCTTTTTCTGACAACCGGGAGATGCCTCCGCAACAGCCGCCGCCATGAGCGCCCTTGCTGTCTGGCCGGAAGTCATTCGTTGCCAGCTCTCCTCCCCCTCTCCTTCCCCACCCTGTCCTCTTCAAGCTGCCTGGCTTTCCCGACAGACAGCCGACAGCCGCAATCCTTACAACACTCCTGTGCTTTCGCTCCCCCTTTATGGTTGTCAAATTGATTTCACCACTGCGATACCTACGGCTCCCAATGAAACTTAATTAAAAATACCATTTAATCACAAAGTAACAAAGGCAAACTGGATAAACGGTATTACCACTTCGCGCATTTTAATCCACACTGCTTCTCTCCATCCGAATCTGCTTGGATGAAAATTGCCTTTTCAAATCAGAATCCCCTTGTCTTCCCTGCGCTTGCCTCTGACAGATCTCCAGAATAAACAGTGTTTAGCGTGGCATGGATCCAAATGGATGCAATTTGCCCAGTGGTAAAACCAGCCTTAACTAGAGCACGGAAAAAAAAAAAAAAAAAGGTGCATTCAAGAAGACCTTCCTTGGAAATTCACAAAACCTTCTACTGAATGTGAGATAAGTCAGGGCCTATGGAATCTCATGTCTAACAACCCTTCATTCAGTTAATGTTGGATCGAGAAGCTTATTAGTAAAATTGTGTCACCAGCCATGACCTGCTCTTTTCTTTTACATCGAGAAAACTCCCTTGGGCTGGAGACGGCCAGGGAAAGCAGGAGAAACGGATGCCGCTGGTTGGAGGGCAGCTGCAAACAGGAGGCCCAGGCGGCTGCTCAGTGCAGTTGGAGGGTTTTGCAGAACGTGGCTCCCAGATTCCCAGTCAGAAAGCCATTCCCTGGGATCGAGCCATCTGCTATCTCCAAGGCCCTTTAAAATCCACATGGAAGCCAGAGTGATCATCTAAAAGCATAAAAGTATCCTCTCCGGTACCCGTCCCCCCGCTGAATCCTTCAGTGTTCTCAGGACACTTGAAATAAACTCCAGATACTGGTCCTACCTCCTCTTGACCTGCATCTCACCCACTCTCCTTGCTTTCTCTGCTTCAGCCACAACAGGCCCGTTTTCTTCCTTGAACAACTGACTCCAAATGCTTTTCTGCCGTGAGGTCTTTGTACCTGCTATTCCCTTTGTCTAGAACACCCTTCCCTATCACCTCTCTCTAAGGAACCCTGGTGATGCACTGGTTAAAAGCTCGACTGCTAAAGAAAAGGTCAGTGGTTCGAACCCACCTGCTGCTCCGTGGGAGAAAGATGGGGCAGTCTGCTTCTGGAGAGCTTACAAAAAACTTCAAACTCACTGCCGTTAAGTCAATTCCAACTCATAGCAACCGCCAGTGGGTTTCCAAGGCTGTAAATCTTTACAGAGGCAGACTGTCCCATCTTTTTTTTTCCTGTGGAGTGGCTGGTGGGTTTGAATTGCCTACCCTCTGGTTAGCAGCCAAACGCCTTACCACTATGCCACCAAAACCCTATGGGGTAGTTCTATTCTGTTCTATTGGGTTGCTGTGAGTCAGAATGGACTTGTCAGGCATACAACATGAGCTCTCTTTCCTGAGCTGCTAACTGAAACCACCTTTCATCAGTCACCAGTTAGGCTCCAACCCTTCACTCCATTCATTCCCTTCCTAGCACTTACACGCATCTGAAATGAGCTCAGTATTTATTTACTGTTTTATCATCTCCTTCCCACCACATGGAAGATCCTATTTTGGCCATGCCTTACCCCTAGCACCTCGCACAGGGGAGCCCCTCAGGCAGAGATAGATCCTGGGATGCCCAGGGCTCACCACCCTCCTGGCTGTGATAGGCATTTAAGAAAGGTTTATGAGAGGGAGGAAGGGAGGGACAGTCAGTAGCATCTTAGTGCAAAGGAATCTCTCAAGTTTTTCTTAAGATGGCTGGGACCAGACACTGGGTAAGTCCAGCAGGTGGGACTGCTGCCTTCAGGTGGTCCCAGGAACAAAGCTGCCCTGCTCTTTCAGTCACACAAATAGGGGTGGAGTGGGTGGGGGGATTAGAAATTTCTGGACCAGTTTTCCCAGGAAGGCCCTCTGCTAGTCTACGGGGGAGAAACAGGCCTTCCCTTGCCCTGCAGGAAATGAGTCAGTTGTCAGTGCCACCATCGGTCCCCTTTGATGGGCTCTTGCTCTTCCTCCTTCCACCCACCTGAAACCACCCTAAGAGAAGGTACAATCCTCAGAACACAGAGCTCACGCTCGCTGAAAGCCATCAGGTCTCTGGAGAAAATTTTACCTCACCTTTTGGAGTCACTTAAGGCTGTAGCTCCTCCAACCCCGGCTGCCCATCACCTGGCACCCACCAGGCCAATGACGCAGGCCAACCCACTGGAGTGCAGGACGAAAATATCAGACCCTCTCTTAGTTTCATACCTCATCATTTTAATATTTTTATTGTTTATGAATGTTTTACGGTGTACATGATATATTAGCACAAGCAGTCCACGAGTAAAGTTCAGTAAGTTTACACACATACTGGGGCAAGCACAGGACAGCAGTATTTCTTTTCACTACAAAGGGTGCAGGCAAACAGGTGTGGAGAGGACTGACACACAGCGATATAACAGGTCAGGTTTATAGCAAATGATAATGGGGAGCAAGAGGGTCTATGGGAAAACCATGGGGGGGGGTGTCATGCTCCACCTAAGAGAAGAAGACACTGCTTAGTTTGCTGCCATGCCAGGATGGAGGCCCAGGGCTGTCAGGGGTTTTGAATTTTAAAATACTGGCACCTAATGATATATATATATATATACATATATATATATATGTGTGTAAAGACATCATTGTATGGGCTAAATAGAACACTGGGTGACATGGCCTCGAGGGTGCCTCATCAGCGACGTCTCTGTGCCACACGTCCTGCATATGTTAGTTCATTTAGTCTATATAACAACTCTGTAAGGAGCGTGGCATCTCCCTGTTACTGATGATGAAACTGAGACTCAGTGACATCAGGAAATGAACCTGAGGTCTGAAAGACTCACGTCTCAGGATGCAAACCTGGCTGCTTTGTGCAGTGTGACTCTTCTGTGGTTATTAGCTCTGTGGGAATGAATGCCTACCTTGAGCCAATGTGATTCTGATGGCAAGAAAAGGGTTTGGTCCTCACTGTGCCTCTCAATGGGCAAAAGCTCTTCAGCTTACAAACTACTGTGAACAACTACAAGAGAAGGCAAATGGATTTGGGAGATGGGCTAACTATTCTTGCAGTTTCTGGGGACACCAGAGGGCAGGAGTCAGGCCTGATGGGAGAGATGTTTAATGATATCATGAGATCAAGGAGGGATCAAGAGAGCAACCCCTGAGTCCAGGTTGGCTTACTGATCATATAATGATACTACTATTTATTGGGTATTTAATGATACTAACATTTCCTGGGTAATTAACTACAAGCCAGAAAGTGTTCTAAGTCTGTTTTTGGATTATTTTACTTGATCCTCACCTTGTGAGTTGGTGCCTTTAGTGTCTTGACTGTACATATGAGGAAAGTGAGGCATGGTAATATGCCAAAGGTCACATAGCTAGTGGGAGTCATAATCCACACACTCTGAAGCCAGAGCTTATGTTTGAACCTCTTCTCTACGTTGTCTCTAGATGCTCCAATTGTCTTCAGAACAGGGCAGTGGGGCTCCTCAAGCCTCAATTCCACCAGCCATTATATAGAAACAGGGGAGTTACAGAAAAATCTGTACTATGCTGGCTAAATCCATGAAGCACTATAAATAAGGCTGCTTCACTTTCATTAGAAGAGGGACACTTCCTAAGGACAAGAGGTCAACTTAATTTTAATTTTAATATCTCTCCATCCCTTGTGCAGAATATAGGACTCATAATTCAGACTTTTACTTAGGTTGCCTTAGAGAAGAGAAGGAGGCTACTCTACTCTTCAATGAGTCATTTCTCTTTTAATTTCTTTCTCCTATGGGGAAGACCCTCAATGAGATGGATTGACGCAGTGACTACAACGATGGGCTCAGGTATAGCACGGATTGGGAGGATGGCATACGGCCAAGCAGTGTTTTGTTCTTTTCTTTTTTTTTTTAATTATTTTTTTTGGGGGGGAATTCTTGTTTAATATCAAATCAGACTATAACATTGTTTCATTTTAAAACTTCTCAATAGACATGAACTCCATTTCCTGTCTGTTTCCATTAGGCTCCACAATCTAACAGCCAAGAGAAGTCTATCCACATGCCCTTTGCACAAACTAACTAGAAAGTTAGAGAAGAGCCAAAGGCATCTTTTCCTTCTCCACCTAAGACATGTGCTCTTTCGAGGGTTTTGCTTCCAGAAGCTGACCTTTGAGTTCTGAAATGATGTCTGTGAGATCAAAAGGCAGGGGCATGGAAGGGTCATCCTTTTCCCAATACGGCCTACATTCCGGTTTCTGATCTGCAGGTAACGTTCGGGCAATTCGGGACTGGCACCTGCAAGAGTAAGAACAGGCAATGAACTCATGGAAGGAAATGCCTAGAAAACCCAAACCTATGAGAAGCTTAGAGCAACACCAGGAAACCCTCTATGGACAATCGTCCATGGTGCTGGTGGCAGCAGCAATGAGGAAGAGGAGGAGGAATGAGTTCGCCAACCAGAAAATGAGGCTTGATAAGTAGTAGAAACTGTTCTTGATGGTGTTGGGCTGTCTTTTATTTCAATTTCCATTTTTGTATTATCGTGAGTGGCTTCCTAGAAGCCAATCATCAGGGAAATTCAGTTCCTTTGCCTTTAAAATGGTGAATTATTTTTTCATTATCTCAACTGTTATTTAAAGTATGTGATTAAGCCATTATCAGATTTAAATGTTTGTGGGATTTCAATGTATTACTAGATTACTGGGAAAGATTAAATTGAATTTACTGCATTAAAATGTCCAAGAATAGATTAAACAATATTACAGACCAGGATTGACTTTGGAGATCCTAGAGATTTACAAGTGTCCCAGCTTGCCGCGTGCAGAAAAAGGCACTCCAAGGAGAGACCGAATTATAAGGATATATGCAAATAGAGGTTAATAGTCATTTCCACTGATGAATAGGTGGGGAAAACTTCCACAAAATTAAATTAAGAGGCTAGCGAGAGTTAGTCCCTAAGGAAAACACTTAAATCACAGTTTTTATTAAATGGATTATTCATCAATAGTAGAGAAATTAATTATCATATGCAACTAAATTATATATAGCCTTGTAGGAAAAAAGTTGGGGCAACACCATTACACTTTCGAAGGCGTCTATCTCTCTGAGAGACCAGCTTATTTAAAATTAGTTGGGGAAAGCTCAGTGGCCTTAGCTTTATTTATTTGAAAAATGAGGATCAGAGAGAAGGCAACACAAATTGCAATAAAACCTCTCTACCTCCTTAAAGCATGTGGCCATGAAAATTGGTGGATCAAAGAGAAATATACTGTGAGTGCGTTTGGGACAGTCTCTGCTTTCCCCTCCCTATCCCCTGCTTTCTTTGCATCATTCTCTAAATCAATTTAAAAAGTCGTCATACCCAATACTTATCTTCTGATAGTACCTGACTGACAATGAAGAGATCAGGGGATGGAAGATGCCAGCCCCACTTCCCAGACGGACGGTAGAGAAGGTTCCTACCTAAAAGACATCTTCTTCTCTGGGGAATTATTAATGGTGAGGGGATCCCCACGGGAAAACATACTTCAACTTTACACCTATTTTCGTGTGTGGTTAATTGCTATACCGGCATCCTATGCACTCAATCCGTCGTACGTTACACATAACGTCCCCATATATCTTCGGCTCTCCGCATCAGGCCCTGATAATAGCGTCTGTTAACATGCACTAAGTACTATTATGTAGCACATCACTTCATAAATAATAAGATTAGCTGACCTCGGGGCCCCAAGAAGAGTAATGTGTTTAAATGTTCTCATTATTTATTTAAAACAAGAATTAAAGCAAGAGAAGCTGCTTTTGACAATCCTCTTAGCATAAATATTAAACTGTTTGCACTGATAAGCCACACTCTGCACTGAAGAACCGGGGGTGTGTTCTGCAGACTACTTAATAATGAGTTTTTGAGACTGTCGCTTGCTGTCGTGGTTCTGAGGGTACATCTCTGTTCTAGAGACAGTCTCTGAATCACATGGAAGGGATGAGGGCAAATTAACATTCAAGGGAAGCTGCGACTAATTACAGAGGAACTCTGAGAAGCTTTTTAAATTGTGCTTTCTCTCTCTCCGCCTCACATTCAGACAGCAACGCTCCATTTGCTAGGTAGGCAATGTTATTGCAAATTGAGCATTTCAGTCCACAGCGGATAAATTATCCGTGCACACATTATCCTGGCTGGCAGACTCGAGGGCTGTGATAAGTGTCGATCCACCTAGAATATAAGGTTTGTGAAAAGTCAAGAGAGACACATTTTCACCTGTCAGATGGGTTTTGCCCCTTTACTTTGAGAAAGTATTAGAAATACTAAATGAGCTGGGGAAGTTGGTTTATGCCATGTTGTGAAAGCCTTCCAAGGCCACTGGCCTTTCTTTGGGGCAAAGTTGCTACATGGCTCTCTGCCATCGCTCTTCTCATCAAAGGAACAGTCGGTGTGGGGTTTAACTATCTCTGCTTCATGCAGGCCCTGACAGGCCAGGACTTGTACATATTTACTGACTATATCTGGGTGAAGAGTAGAACCTTTTTTTTTTTTAAGGGTCTTAATTCAGAACTTTCTAGATTCCTTTAAAACTCGTAATGTCTAGCACTCTTTGACCATTTTCAAATGACAGTGGTCAGGCCCAGCGGAGGGCTTGTTGGTAGAGGTGATGTGTTTACCTGTGAGAGTGAGAGAGGACAGCCACTCCCGATTTCAATAGCACTGCCTGATTCAGCATCATGCAGGACTGTGGGATCGAAAAAGAATAGGGCTGAGACTTGAAATCATGTCCTCCTTTGGGTTTAAATTCCTCTCACCCACGTCACTCATTCTACCTCCCTCCTGTGTCATTTTCATAAGAGGGGGATGTAAAACCATTGCAGTATCAAGAGGGTGCCCTCGGGATGGCCAGCACTGCTGCTTCTCAGAGACATGACATCCTGGGCAGGTTTCTTAACCTTGCTGAGCCTCAGTTTCTTGCCTGTCAAACGGAGAGGATAATTATCATCATAATATCTTTCTCGTGGGGCTGTTGTGGAGATTAAATGAACTGATATACACAAAGTACTCAGAAATTGCCTGGCACGTACCAAGTGCTCAGTAAGTACCAAGTATCGCCACCATTATCGTTACTTGCACTAACTATAGTGACAAGTGAGAGATGCCAGTGACAGTGCTGCCTGGTCCCTGTGGCAATGCCCCCTCACACTGACTGGCTGGGCAGCCTCTGGACTGGCTCTTTGTATGGGAAGCTCTGTCAATACAGGTACAGCTTTTCCTGGGCGTGAATCAAAATGAGCCTGTGGCTAAATCCTATCAAAATGTGACATTCCGGGATACCGAGGCTTATACATTCAAGCTGCTACAACTTTCTGGTGACAGGTTAAAATGTTCAGATACAGAAAGACTCAGCAGTTGGTCTGAAAGACCTGGAATTAATAAAAGGCTCCAGTGTCAGACTTTTTAACTGGTGGTTACTTAAGACCGATCTGGCATTTATAGGAAGCAAAGTTGTACTGTCTCTTAGCAAACATACTCAATAAACCAAACAAAACTCACTGCTGTTGAGTTGATTCTGACTCATAGAGACCCCCACTGGGTTTCCAAGGCTGTAAATCTTTATGGAGGCAGATTGCTTCATCCTTCTCCCACAGAGCAGCTAATGGGTTTGAACCACCGATCTTTTGGTTAGCAGCCAAATGCTTTAAGCATCATACCACCAGAGCACCTTACATACTCTATACCAAAAACCAAATCCACTGCCACTGAGTTGATTTCAACTCATAGTGACCCCCCCTGGGTTTCCAAGGCAGTACATTTTTACAGAAGTAGATTGCCCCATTTCCCCTCCACGGAGCAGCTGGTAGGTTTGAACTGCCAACCTTCTGGTTAGCAGTCAAATGCCTTAGGCATTCTGCCACCAGAGCTCCTTTATCTACTTTATAACTCACTGTCCTCGAGTTGGATCTGACTCACAGCAACCCCTCCTTGGGTTTCTGAGGTGGTATCACTATGGAAGTAGATTGCCCAACCTTCCTTCTGAGGAGTGGCTGGTGGGTTTGAACTGCCAGCCTTCTGGTTAGCAGTCAAATGCCTTAGGCACTACGCCACCAGAGCTCCTACATATAGACCCTTAGAAAATAAAGGGTCCCCAAGCTGACTTAAGAAATGTTTTAAGAATGCTGAATGTGGTGGATATTTGTTGCCTTGTATCCATTCTCACCAACAGGATCCTACTTTTCCTGTGGAGAATCCATCTTGTCCCTGTGCTTACCCAGGGGGTTTGTGTAGGACTGACCCCACCTCTATAGTCAGGAAGAGCCGTGACCCGCTGAAGCTACTCAGCATATCCCATTCTCTTAGCTTCAGGGGGTGTTCAAGGGGAGATGTATGACTCAATTTGGGGCAATAGAGAGAAAATCAGAGGACTGATATGGGAGCTGAGGGGAGAGACCTTCTCCTCTTCTGGTCTGTGAACTATAAGCATGCGCTAGCTGGAACTGCCACAGTCATGTGCTACCATGCAGAATACTGTAGTACACAATGGACTGCCAGAAAACGAACAAACTCGTCTGGGAGAAAGTACAGACAGAACATTCCTTAGAAGCAAGATGGTGAGACTTTGTCTCACCTACTTTGGACATGCTACCAGGAGGGACCAAGCCATGGAGAAGGACATGATACTTGGTAAAGTGGAGGGTTAGCAAAAAAGAGGGAGACCCTCAGTGAGAAGGAATGACACAATGGCTGCAACAATGGGCTAAATGTACCTACTACTGTGTGGCTGGCGCAGGACTGGGCAACATTTCTTTCTGTTCTATGTGGGTTGTTATGAGTTGGAGCTGACTGGACGGCACCTAACAACAAGAGGCTGGGTACTGGGTAATACTGTGTGAGTAGCTGGACGAAACCTCACTTGAAGGCAGCTACACTTACACTTTTTAGTCTCACGAGTCTTTGTTTTTGTTTGCGTTAGGTTTCCTGGCACTTGCAACCCGAGAGTCCTGGCTGATATGCTGGTCATGCCTCCTACTTCCCAGTTACATCTTGCCTTTTACCACATATACACTGCCAGGGCCCCACACCAAGCGGCTACTGGCAGGCCTCTCTCTAAACCGAGAAGGTGCTGCAGATACAGTATAGGGTGTGCAGAGATAGTGGGTACAAAAGCATAGAAACATCAACCTTCATTTTTGATTCAAATAATACACCGTTTGGGGAAAAATTTCTACCCAGAAGGCCAGGGAGCGCTAGATGTCATCCATGGTAGGTTTTGCATGAAAGTAACTGGAGCTCGTTGTTCCTTCTAAGGAAA